GAGAATGTGAACTTTTGTTAATACAAAAACTTTGTTTTATTAGATTAATGGAAAGTGGAGTGGTCAGAGTGCTGGAGGATGTGGAAATTTTCAAGAGACTCATAAGAATAATCCCATTTACCAATTCCATATAGAAAAGACTGGGCCATTACTAATAGAGCTGAGAGGACCAAGGTTTGTAATGAGTACTAATTTCTTAAATTAATAGTGTTATATTTAAAATGAGCTTAGTAGAACAGAAGAGAGTTTTGAGACAGACCTATGCATATACGGGTGCTTGATTTATGATAAAGGTGGTGGTGCACAGGGGCAGGAAAATGGTAGTCTGTTCGATAAATGGTGCTGGAATAATTGAGTGTCCCTGTACCAAAAGGTAGTGAAGACCCCAGTCTCACATCTTACCTCAAAATCAACTCCAGGTGGGTTACTGTATAGGAAATACCTTAATAAAAAGATTTTTATATGTGCTACATTAGTAAGAAAAAGTCTTCAGTTTTTTAAAACTAAAAACTTGAACAGGCAGGTCCTAAGGAAGATAATCCAGATGGCCAGTAAACCATGGTAAGAGCCAAAAATTTGAAATAATCCAGATGTGCATCAGTGGCATTTAAGATTATAAAAGTCAAAAGAGTCCTATATAGCAATGAAAATAAACTATAGCTACCCACAACATGAAGGATAAGTCTTAAAAATAATACTGAACAATAGAAGGCACACGTGACAAGAATATACATGATTCCATTTGCATGAAGTCAAGAACAAACAAAACTGCTGTTTCAGGATGCACACGTCAACAGTCACAGTATATACAAAGCAAGAAAGTGATTAAAAGTTAGTTTTGTGGGCACAGGAGTTCTGTTCAGAAAGGAGGATAGAAGGGACTTCCGTGGTGCTGAGAGGGTTTCGTTGATTGAGGTCATGGTAACCCAGGTGTTTGTGCACTTTACAAACTATTTGTTAAGTTATATATTCATTTTGTGTACATTGTGTTATATTTTACAATTTTAAGAAGTGTAAAAACTAGAGAATACAAATAAAAAATAGTACTTCTAAGTAAAACTAGGTTTAATTGTGCCTGCCTTACAAACTAATTCAAAAGAAACTAATAATCCTCATTTAGATATGACTAAGCTACTTTTTCAGTCATTTTAAAAAGGTTCCTCAGTCTGCTAGGTAATATAAGGTATCTAATTACCCTTTTATATTTAATTTCCAGATTGATTAGACATGTAAAAATACTTGACAATGTGTATGTTTCCAGTATTGCCTAATTCATGTCTTTTGCCTATTTTCCTGTTGGCATTGTCATGTTTTTCATAATTATAAGCATGAATAAGGGCATGTCTGTAGGAATATTGGCTCCTTCACACATTTTTTAAAAACTTTTCCCTGTTACCGTTCATCCCCCCATATCCTCTTCCACCTCCACGCACCCCTCTCCTTCCCAGTCACCACGCTGTTACCAGTTCCTTCACATACTCGTAATTATTTTTCCCAGATAATTTTTTCACATAGAAAAAAATCATTTTAAAGTAATCAGTTTTTTCTGGTTTATTTTGCTGTGAGCAGGAACTATCACCCCAATAGTAAACAAATTTCACCACATTTTCTTCTAGTTCTTTTGTTTTGTTTTGTTTTGTTTTTTAGATTCTTTGTTTTAATCCTAATGGAATGTATTTTTTTAAATTTGGTGTGAGATACAGTTTAACAATATTTTTTCTAAGTTTTTATCACCACCTAAATAACCCTTCCTCTCCCTACTGATTTGGAATGCCATGTGTGCCATATGCTAATTACTTTCTTAGATTTTTTTTTCAGGGTTTTCTCTTCTGTTCCACTTTTTCTGCCTTATGCAGTGACAATATTTTATCATGTAAATCTAACATCTGGGAATGTATAGTAAAAACAGTCTCTTCTAAAATAAGTTTAATGTGATATTAATCTTTGTCTTCAATTTAAAACTATAAGTGGTGTTTTCCATAATTAGAGTAGAAATAGTATGCGTGTGTTTCAGAGTGTTTTTTCTTCCTACTGAAGCTTCCTAGAAAGCATATACTTGACTTTAGTAGTACATTTGCACTTTAGGTATACTTATTTTTAGGTATGCATGTATTTGAGACTACTTAGCAGTTAAAACTCTGTGCCTCTTTACTGCTAGGCAATACAGTGTTGGCTTTGAAGTTGTAGCAGTGTCTGTGGTGGGAGACCCTGGTCCCCATGGCTTTCAGAGGAAATCCAGCGGTGACTACAGGTAAGGTTGGCATTTTGATTATATCTGATGTATATTTTGCTTTTTGTGATGCCGTCTTCTCTAAACCATGTTTTTATTTTCCCTAATATTAGGTGTGGGTTTTGCTACCTGGAATTAGAAAACATACCTGCTGGGATTTACAATATCATTCCCAGTACTTTTTTGCCTAAACAAGAAGGACCTTTTTTCTTGGACTTTAATAGTATTATCCCCATCAAGACAACGCAACTTCAGTGATGGAAAAATCTCAGCAATTACTGGATTTCATACTTAACAGTCAACTCTTCAAATGAGGACACAAATCTCCAGGACAGTAAACACAACAAAACAGAATTCTCTAAAAAAAAAAAAAGATGTTACGGTGGGATCTGGTGCTCAAGTCAGGATGTTTACTGAGAATTGTATATAGTAAGAATTACTCTAAATTACTTCAGAAGTACCATTTATATGGTTTTGTGTATATGTGGAATATTGGCTTGCAAAAAAAAAAAGTGCAGATGATTGAAGTTTATACTTGGCACTGTGATACAGCTTCACTAAGAGGGAACTGAGACCAGATGAGGGAAAGAGATTCATTTGGTGGAATGGTAGGCTGAAAGAATATTCTGAAATACTTACATTGTTTGTCTTTCTGGCAGAGCATGTTGTATTAAACCTGCTGTTATGACTACTATACATTTTGGGCAACTAATTACCGAATGAATTACGTCACACAACAGATTTTAATTCTGCATTATTTGTGACTTTAAATGTTTGTTGCCCAGATATTATGAAAGAATAAAGTTTTTAGAAATACTAGTAACTTAGTATGAAGATGCTCATGTGTAAGAATGAAGGTTGTTGAAGTTAGATACCTGTCTCCCATTGAATCATGTAAAAGAGGACTGAGGTATATATTGCAGTCATTTATCAGGTTGATGAAAGTAGTCTGAGATAGTGAAGACATCACTGTTTAGTTGGTATGTTTTTTTTCATTGCTGTGTAGTTCAGTGCTTGTATGGTAACAGCACTCTGAAGAAAATACAATTGAGAATTTAATATATTGCAATTGAAGTTGCATTTGGAAAGCTTGGCAGAAGTACTACAGACTTGTGTAAATTCCCAGTTGTTTACATAAAAATCCATCAAAGCAGAATAATGCTCAAGAATTTAAAAATCTGAAAATAGGTATTTTTCATCATCTCTATAATTTATAATCAAAACTTTTGTATTTATGCTACCTTTAATTGAAATAAAATGTTTATACTTATGAAAACTGCATAGTTTAACCTAGAAAAACTCATTATTAAAGGACCTCATTTAGTATGCTCCATCTAAAAGAGAAGAGAATTCATTATTTGTTTGAAAAGTCACATTTCAAAAAAATCTGTAACATTCAGGATAGTGGTAGATTATTATACTAGTGAGATTTCACTTCGGTAAATATTAGTGCTTTCAATTTTAGATACTAATTTTAGGTAGATTATCTTTCTTTGGCCCTTTAAAGAAAAAACTAAAGCATAAGAGTTTTATTTATTATAAACACACATGATTTGAACCTTCTGTATTAAAGATCTTACAGGATACAAACTGAATTAAGATCTATTCCCTGCTCTCAAAAATTTAACAGAGGAGACCAGTATATGAGCAATTTAATATATTGTAATGTTGAATTCTACAGTAGAGCTCCAAACGCAGTGTTACAGATGTATGAGGAAGGGAAATTACTAATTTTGGCTAGACCAATATAGAAAGAGAATAAAGTTGGCTGGGGAGCTTTTAAAAGGCCAATGCCCAAGCATACCCCAAATCAATTCAATCAGTCTGCAGGGCTCAGACCAGAGAGCAGTGTGTTTTAAGCCTCCTAAGAGATCCCAGTGTGCAGCAGATATTGAGACCCACTTCCAATATAACCACCTTGTCTTTATTTTCCTGCCACTGTGTCTCCTTATTGCTTAGCTTTGTAGCAGCAAAAGTAGAATTCTAATTCAAACCTGGGTAATCGGGGCTTAAATTATTAGGATCCACAACTTTCACTGCATTCCATGCTCTCCTGTGGCAAGTAAGTTGCCTAGAATAGAAGATTTGGGCAACATCAGGACTTCTCATGTGAAGTAACAGAAAAACAGACATTTTCTTAAGTGGTTTTTATTACACGCAAGGTATTAGGACAAGTACAAAATAACCTTGTAATTAAGATACTGTATCAGTCATTAAAAAAGGAGAAAAACACTACAGTATGAAGAGATTTACAAATGACTAAAATATACAAGTTTTGACAGAATTAACAAACAGTTTGAAATGGGGTTGCTTTTTTCCTTTTAGAAATGCCAAGTTTTCTTAACAAATAAAATACAGTTCTCTTAAATATGTGTAACCATGAAAACATTAAAGAAAAGCAGTCTTAACACATACTACTATTAGTATTACAACAGATTCCATTGCATCTATTTAACAGCCTTTGCCAACACATGCCTGCTCCCTTTCCTAGCTTTAAGAAACAATTTCCCCTAAGAAATACTAGTAGCATAACCCTTAAATAATTTTTATTTTTAAAGTTATAGCCTACAGAGAAATCAACACCTTGTCAGTCTAGAATAACAATGGCAACCATTCTTCACATGCACTTCTCTTAGAGCAAGTCCCCTTGGCTGGTAGGATACGGTTTATGTTACAGAACCTTCTCTCCCACAGCCACAAATCCCATTCTATGGTATGTCCTTGCTACCCTCATTCTCCCCACCCCGCCCCCCGCCCCCACACTGGCATTCACCTTTCCCACCCCAAAAAGTGCAGTTCATAGTAACCTTTATAGAAAATGGTTTTAATGGGTGTCCCAACATATACACTCTTTTAAAAGCCCCTTCTGAACGCCAGAGGTGACAAAAATGACTTAACGTTCTTGGATTTCTTAAGCCTTCACTGGGTCCAAAAGGTGAGTTCTGAATATTCGAGTATTGTCTCGCATTCTTTGTTTTCATTTAGATCCCCTAAGATATAAAGGAAGACGTCTCTATTTCCCCAAACTGAGGGTGAGAGAAGGGAAATAGAAGCAAGCTGTTGACCCCAGCTGGGCTCAGCTTCCCAGCCCCTTTCCTGACTTGGGTTCTTTTGTAGGAACTAGTCATTGCTTCCATTAACACTCTTAGTTAATGTTCCACAAAGACTGCAAACCAGCTCACAGTCCACCTGCAACAACTCTGCTCTAGAAAACAAACCAGCTCAAGAGCTCTTAACCAGAAGAAAAATCTTCAGCCCTCAAGATCACCGAAACTTCATTAGTGCAGTTCAGAGTAAACGCTTACGATTTGGCATGTGTTAAATGATTATTGGCACAATGTTCTCCATACAGTTTCATGTATAAATAGTGATATGCACTGGGGCCAGGACCTCGGGTGGATCAGCCGATCTGCACCATTTTTCTGTCAGCAATAATCCCATCTCTTCCCTTTGCGCAGTGGAGAGAAAGCTGCTTCATCCTGTTCGCCAAGGCCTGGCCCTCAGGGGACGCGCTGCTGTGGCTCTTGCCACCATCGCTGCTGCTGTGGCGAAGACCCCGGTTGTTGTTGGCTTTGTCACTTGTTTTATTCTCTGCCCCTTCTGCTCTGTCTCCTACCAAAAGGTTGAAGATTAAATGAGTAATGACAATGCCAAGGTCACCCAGGCCCAAGCCAGTCGGCCAGCTCAGCCCTCCAGGATCCCCCCATGTTGCCCAACCGTGTGCATCAGAGGGTTCTCCACGTAACTCCTTCCTGTTTTTATTCCTTAAGGCATCTGATACGCTCAGCTCATCTTGAGCGATGAAAGCTGTCATACTCGTTCAGTAGCTGGGGGGCACAACCCTCCCCAGCTGTGCTCGTCAAGGGGACTGCAGCTGCGGTAACACACAGACCCGAGGCCATGGAGCCAGGACTTGGAAACTCCTCTCGGGGGTCAGCGCCGACAGCACACCCACCCAGACCCACTAACGGGCCAGGGGCTCCGAGACCTGGCGAGGGTCTAGAACAGTGCAGGGGTCTGGCTGCAAAGGCCCTGGGGCATCTGGGACAGCACTACTGCTGAGAGGGCTGCCACTCACCTCGTTCCACCTCACACTCCGGGGAGGAGGCCCCGCTGCATTCGCTGCGAGGGCCTAACACCGGGAACATCATCCCAAACTCTGACAGGGACACGGGGCTGGGCAGATCCAGGCTGCCGGGCCTCACAACTGCAGAGAACTGCTCAGCCGGCTCAGAGGGGCTCATCGGTCCTGAGCTGAAGCTGGACACAGATTGGGTTTCCGAGTCATCTTCAGATACAAAGGTGCTACAGTTGTCATCTTCAAAGGCCTCGGAAGCCACTAGAATGAGAGAGAGCACCAGTCACGCAGGGTCTGGCAGATAGCAACCTAGTTCCTTGGATACCTCCACAAGAGCTTGTTGCGGGCAGACAGCTAGACTCGGCATGGGGACTGCAGAATCCCTGCCACCATGGGTCACTAATGGAAAGGGAACAGGACCCTCCTGAGCGTGCAGGCCCAGACTGCAATGCAGCTCGAAGGGAGGTGGCCGGCAGCTGCATCCCATGGACAGGCCACTGCCCTTACCGCAACTTTCTAGCCAGTGTGTGCCCTAGAAGTTAGCGTCAGTAGACACTGCCTAAAGGTAGAAGACGAATTCAGCCACAGACCCGGCGTGGTTTTCCACCCCAGTCCCCCAATAGTCATAGGTGCGCAGGAAGAGGGCTGGCTCTTTGTAATGGACCCCCAAATAAGCTGGTCAGACATGAGGGCTTTCTTCCACAGCAAATAAAAGCAGGAGCTGCTGGAAGAAACAGCCCCACGTGGAATACCTGCTGGGACCTTTGTTCTCTTTCACATGACTCCTGAGCTCAAAGCATGCTCAGAGCCTACCCAGGTCATGATTTGCTGCAAAAGAAAATCCCTTTCCAGTGAGCGCTCTGTAACTTGGGCCTCGCTCACCCTGCAGGCCAGAGTAACCAAGGCCCAGAGACGTGTCATTCTCATGGTTTGAAAGCTGCTCCTGCCTTTAGCTATTTCTCCCTCTGCCTGTACATAATCTTGCTGCTTACTAGACTTTTCTTCTTCTCCCCTTTCCTCCTTCCTCATCTTTAAAAACAGCCTTAGAGCATCCCATAGAGGATCACCATAAATGAGAAATACTGAACTGTTGGGAACAGAAAATGGGATCAATCTGAATTCCAATCCTACTTCCACTGCAAGTTACTTCACCTCTCTGCGCTTCACGTTCCTCTCCATACAGGGTTTATGAGATGATGTTATTCAAGTCCTCGCATTGTTGATTCTCAAAATACAGTTTCCACTTCCTTGACCTTCAGCCTGGCACTTAAACGTTTGCTGACTGAATTAAGGAACACCTGAGAATGGAGCTTGGGAAAGAGCCAACAGGGACTATTCCAGGGAAGACGAAGTGTGCAAAGACAGTGCTGGAGGGGTTTTCTTGGTTAACACACAGGAGGGCACACCAAACCTCTGTTACCAGCTTCCCAGGAGGTGGCCCCGGAAAAAGGTGCTCTGTGGTCAGACACCGGTGAGAGCCACCATTTGTGGGGTACGTACTGGGTGCCAGTGTTACTTCATTTAATCCTAACCGCCACTCTGCAGTCGGTAGTAGGTACTATCATGCTCCCCATTTCACAGGTGAGGAAATGGAGGTATAAAGTTAAGCTCTTGCCTGCATGAGGCACTAGTCATGATGGGAAGGCCAGGGTTTGACTCAAATCTAATTCCAAAGCCCCTATCCTTAGACAACCCTTCTCCCCTGCAGTACTTCTCACACCTTTGTATGTCCTAATATGTACTTTGAACCTCAGAGAGGGGTGAACATTCTTCACTTTCCAAACTTACTTGACCACAGAATCCTGATTTTGAGACACACTCGTAACATCTTGATGAACGCAGTGTCCCACCAAATGTGGGAAGTCGCCAGAAATGGCCCTCAGCCCACCCAAGTCTAAGGCCCTTCTGTGTCAGTGTAAAAAGCCCTGGACGTAGGTCACATGAGCTGGGTCATCGCCCCGCTTGCATACGAGCCCCTGACTCACCAGAAACGGCGTCTGGCTCGGGTTTGCTCCCTGACAGGTCCTCCGCGGATGTGCTGCTGCCCTCGGCCCCGACGCCGCAGCCCCGCGGCCCCATGGCGCTGGAGCGCCGCCGCTCGTGGATCTCGTCTGAGATCATCTCCAGGTTCTTCAGGGCCGTCTTGTACTCGCCTTTTGCCAGGGCCAGTTTGGCCTGCAGGTCGTCTACGGTCTTCTTCAGTTGCTGGTCAGGAGGACAGGAGGCTCAGTAAGTGACAGCTGCCTCTATGGGCCTTGTGATGCTTTTGAATGACAGGTTCAAGCATGTTTTCTGCCCATCGCTCTATTCCAGACTCCCAATCACGATGGAGGGCCTGATGACTTACCAAGCTGTCCGTGCTCCAGATAAAAAAGCAGCCGCCACCACCCCCAACTCCCACCTGAGTGACAGGCTAAAGCTCTATCATCCAGCATCTACCACTGGCAGAATAAACCCCACCAGGGAAGCAACAATGGGTGTCAAACTCACACAGAAGTCCCACATTCTAGCTATTTGGTCCCCAGCACTGTGGTTCTTAAACTTGAGCTCACATCAGAATCACCTGGAGCGCTTGTTAGAGCTCAGATGGCTGGACTCCACCCATAGTTTCTGACCCAGTGGGTCTAGGGTGAGGGGCCCAGGAACCTGCACTTCTAACCAGTTTCCAAGTGTTGCTGATGCTGCTGGCCTAGAAGCACACTGAGAACCACCGCCCAGCACAATATAGAAAGTGGCTGACACAGAGAACTACATATATATGTATCAGATATAGAGATCTTCAGGGACCACTTAAGACCCAGCCAAGACCCATTTTGAGGCCTGAAAACTCAATAAAGAATGTCTCTCCACTCTCCTCTTGTAGCAAATGTGCTATATGAAAGTCTATCCAAAAAGAGGGGCTTTACAGAAAAATCCCATCAGCAACAAAGCCAAAGGCCACACATACCTCAAGCTGCACGTAGTACTTTGCCTTGAGTTCAAAATAAGGCCTGTGAAAAGCAGGAAGAAAGAAACATAAGAGTAAGCTTTTTCTCCAAGATGACGATTATATAAAAATATATAGGAATGGTAGTGAGAAGAGCTTGGGGAAAACCACCATTAAAACCAGTCTTGCACCATTTCATTAGCTCTTGGTCCACAGAGACCCTGTATTGTGCACACAGCTCATCTTCATTACTGGCAGGTAAACAGGCCCAGCCAATGAGCCAGGGAATGGTTTGCTTTTCAAAGTCTGTGTTCTGTGTTGCCCAGGAGTAACCACCCGACTCAGCACCTTGTCCCTCCAGGATATAGAACATTGAGGGAGAGAGGAAGCCTGGGCAGGGGGCTCTGGCAAGGCAGGTGCCTGAGTACAAGGCACATAAAAAGCTGAGGAGATTCAGAGAAGAACCACCTCCCCGGGGGTCCTCACGCCCAGACTTACTTGGATTTGTTGATGGCTCTCTTGAGTTTCTTCTCCAGCTGCCGCATGCGGCCCATGGCCGCGTTGTACCTGGCCGCCGTCTCCTTGTGCACCAGCTCGCTCCTTGTCTTGGTCTGCTCTGCCTCCATGACCTTCAAACGACAGCAGAGGTCAACCCAGCCAAGCCCAGAACTTGTATTATTTTTTAAAAAATATCCTTTGAGTAAATCAGCAGGCAGACGTAAGATTAAATGTCCATGTAGAATAGGATTGCTTCTTCCTATTTTCCCATTTTGGAAAAGTCTTGTCAGATAGGACTAAATAGCCAAATTGGCTGTGGCAACGTTCAGGGAAGAAGACAAGACAAAGATCAGAGAAAAGTTATGACGCATTCTCTGATGCAGTCCGCTTCCTTCGGCCTGGGCCTCCTGGCTCTAAGTAGCCACCCTGGGCTCCTCCTGCTTCCGCCCTGGGGCAGGGACCGATGGGCAGGCACAGGGGCAAACAGCACCAATGGGAACTCCGACATCAAAGAACAGGGACACCTAGCAAAACTATGACGGCATCAGGACAACAAGGCAATCGATCTCAGCAGTTTGGCCCTTTCTTTCCCAAATATCCCGAATTCTGTGTGGACACAGAAGAATCCAGGATCCAGAAAGATCTAACTTTACACTTAAATAATATCAAGTCACTCATATCAGATTTTGAGGTTCACAAAAATTTATGGCCAGGAGACCAGTCAGCATGCTGCTGATGGGAAATTCTAGTGGGAACATTTTGTTACGCCTATTGATTAAAATGGGTTTTAAAAAAAGAAAACCAATCAAAAGCCCTCAATGGCCAAAAACATGGCAGCTCCAAGGCACGTTCCCTGACACGTGGACAATGCGGGTTCTCTCCCTCTTACCTAAAGAAAAGCATTAGAGCAAAGCCTGCCTAGAGGAGAGACGACAAAGGAACACATAGCAGTTCCAGCCACACAAGCAGCTCGCAACTTCTTTCCCATCGTCTACTCACAACTCACACAAGTGTTACAGAATGAACTGGACAGGCAGGCGTGAGGCTGGTGGGCCGTTCTTTGTTTTACCTAAAGAGCATCAGAGAGGAGCCCAGAAGGCCCTCGGATCATTGGTCCACTCTCTCAAACCCAGCAGGACAACTGTAGGAAGGCAGCACCGTGCCTTTTACTCGAGGTTAAAAGAGAAGCCCACAGCAGAAGGCCACGACGTTCTAGCGTCTCCTCCAGTCAACAGCCACAGTTGGCCTGGGGCAGTTAATTGATGCACTCGCTTACAATAAGGTTGGTTTGTTTCTTAACGTGTCAGGAAAAATTATGAAAGACTGAAACGAGCATGAAATATTGCTGGGTGTCCTGTCTAGCATATCCTCCCAGGTTATTTCTGGCTTTCATTGTCCTACAGCTATTTTACTGTGAGCTGTAAGTTGTAGAAAACTGATAGTAATACAAATGATTCTTATCCCTAGAAATGAAGATGAACTGTGTCCCAGTGGAGGGGTATTTGATTATTGATTACCCTGTAAATATTGACCAGTTTTGGATCATTTTGTAAATCTGTTTCAGCATTCCTGGTTTTCTACAAGGGCCTTTACTGAATTCTCCTTTGAAATAGTTGTAACATCTTACTAGTTCGCTCCTTAGTTTGACACAAGAACATTTTCTATTCATCACAGTTATACTTTTACCTTCTTCAAAATATTTCTCTTTCAAAAAGGTTTCAATGCTTGAGATATTTATAAAAACAAAAGAATTAAAACAAAGCCAGAGAAGGAAAAGAGGAGGGAACTGAGCTGAGCTGGCTTGCGATAACATGCTTGCTAAAGTGACTTGTCAATCAAGACCAAAGGGCTAGGAGAATCCTTTCTTTTTGCTTCTAACACCAAAGATTTCACAAAGAAAAAGAATGCACTAAAAACATGCCATGCTTGGACACAGTCCTGTCTTAAATCTTAGGCTTTCTGGACTTGCTGGTTGTAACCTTTATGAAAACCCAAACCTCCAAGCTTACCAGACAGAAGACAATATATTGGAGGTGAGCTGCTCCATTATGAAAGAAGTCAATGCAGCGTTCACCTTCAAAGAGCTGTCTGAAAGCATTCTAAAGAGCCTGACTTAGAAAGGCTGTGATTTGAGGCACTGTAGAGAAAGGTCCCCTACACGAAGTAGGGTTCTCAGCAGCTGCATATGGGCCCTCATATATTTCAGCCCCTAATTTGCAAAAAGCAGCACGGCTTTCTAAAATTAAACATTCAGAAAGCTTCAAGCCCTTGGAAGTATTACCAGTGAAGACCGAGGATGTGGCAAGCATGTCGCTGTCCCCTGCTGCACCCCCATCAGGCTACGTCAGCCACGTCCTGTCCCAGTCTCCCTTGCCCCACATACACACAGCCCCCAGCTCAGCCTCCAGGCAGAAAGTCACCATGGATGTCGCCTTGGTGCAATCCCCCGAGTAACCAAGGAGCCCTCCATCTACGTACAGAACCAGGCATGAGCCGTGTGCTACAATGGGTGGGGAACAAGAGAAGGTGGATCAGGGAGGAGGGAGGCCCCGGGTGGTTCTGCTATGAAAGTTGAAGGCACGGGGAACAGAGAGGAGCCACAAAAGGAAGCGATGACAAAGAAGTTCCCTAAAGCCTCACGGCAGCAGCAGGCTGGACTGGGCCGGGCACGTGCAACCCCAACCTGAGGTGCCCAGCGCCATCGTATTCCCAGGATGCTCAGGGCTGCGCTTGCCTCCTTGAAGCCCAGGTTGACAGCGATTTGGTCTGGACTCCAAGAACCTGCCCCCATCTGTGGACCACGCTCTTCAGTTTCACCACCACCACATTCAATTCAGAGCTGCGTACAGCGATTACGCAGCACCTCCTGGACAGCGCACCTCCGGGGGCACAGGCACACCCAGCAGCCGTGACCGTCATTCAAGGCAGCGTGGGATCCGCCCTGTCCGGACGGCCATGGCAGCTCAGAGACGGCTTGACAGCAGGGCTGTACTCGAGAGGGGTCTGCAATGTGTGACACTTGGGGCAACGGATACAAGAGGAGGAGGTACTCTTGACTACAGTGGGTTTTGCACAGGCTGCAGCTCTTCCTTGCCCGGAGCCACACGCCCTTGGTCCCATCTCCACGGGAGGAGCACTCAGGGCTCACAAAGATTGAGGCGGGGGACAGTTCCCAGCATCGCACCTCCTTGCCCCAGAGCTGGAAGGCTCCCGAAGGAAATACCTGTCCACCATGAACGAGGTTACCTCCGGGATGTTGGGGATGTCAGCAAAGGTGGAACGCCTCAGGGTTGGGGACGTTCCTCCTCCATGGGACGCACTAAAGCGTCTTTTTCTCTCCCTCTTACCTAAGAAAAAGCATTAGAGCAAAGCCTGCCTTGCTTTAGGACTTTAGAGTCTTGGCCTCTCTCATTATGGTTTAGAACTTTCTCCCAGAGGGGCCCCTGTCCTGGGGATGACCCCCTACAGGCTCTCTGTTAACTTCTGGTTGCACCTGCCTCTGCCTACGAGACTCAGAAGTCAGGCATTCTTGGGGCCCCCAGAACCCGCAGGGATGCGCTTCTGCCCTCGGGCCTGCCCCAGAACTGCCCACCGCCAGTGCCCAGCTGAGCTAGGCAGCCAGAACAGGTGCCGGACACCCACGGCACCGGGCCTGGGCAGGCACGTGAGCAGCGGGCCCTGGAGGAAAAGGCATGCATGCTGGCCTGCGGAGGCCGTAGACCCTTGCCTCCCCCCAGGTTAGCAGGAGAGACAGGTGTGGGCCGGGAGCGCCTGACTGGCTCCCTCCTAGGAGTCCCCCGGCAGGCAGGCAGCTGGGTCCTAACGGGCCCCAGAGATGCTGTTCACAGTCACACACAGAAGACGCTCAACCAGCTGGGGCCTTCCTGCCTGGATACCAACAGACACCGACCAGGTGTGCCAGACAGTCTGGGCACGGCCTCCTGGCCGCATCCCCTGCCAGCGAAATGACCTGAACTGACCTGCAGACATCCACCCGGCGTGGCCCCTCCGCCGCCCATCCCAGCTCTCCCTCTCCAAACCCTGGGGCGTTCCACCCTTGCCGACATCCCCAACATCCCGGAGGTAACCTCGTCCCCAGCATCCTGTCGCGAAGATCAGCACCCTCCTCTCTTCAGGGAAGCCAGTTTTCTGGTTTCCTCAGAACCTCAGCGCATCCAGGCTGTTTTCTGATTCTTATCGCACCCCTGGGCAAGGGGTCCCAAAGAGGTGGCTTCTCTCCACTGTATGGCAGAGGGTGGCACGTCCCCACCAGTGTCAGGAAAGCTGGCCAGGACAGCTCACGTGCCACCACAGGCCTCAAATCCACGCGCCCACCCACCTGCACAGCCGGACCGGGGAGGGGAGACTGGCTGCGTCCTTCCCTCTCCAGCAGCTGCCATTCATAAACACTTCGTGCCTCTCCTTGTCCAAGTCACATTTTCTTCCTGTCTGGTCTTCTCTGCCAGATATCAGAAAAGCCAGTTCCTCCCTCCCAGATGCCAGGCCTCCTCTCCCAGAGAATGAAGCCATCACCTTCCCACAAAGGCCGCTTCAAGGCCAAAATAGACAAAGCCAGGGGCGCTGCTGCTGCCCAAAGCCCCAAGTAGTGAGCAGCAGGGACTCTGGGCCCCACATCCCCAGGACGCCACTCAAGGGCAGGCTCGGCGGCTCTGCCTCGTGCTGCTTGCAGCTTCCAAGGCCCTCCTTGACCCCAGACCTAAGCAGAGAGACCTGTTCCTGGTCCCTGTCTATGGCATTGCATGTGACCTAGTAGAGAACACCAGGCCTCCTGGGTCACTTATCATTTCCTAGCATGCTGGCTTCAGCCATGGCTCCAAGTGTGGCTGCCCAATGTCACCACACGTCTGAGAGGTACAAAGGGGACACACTGATGTCCTTGGGCAAGAAACGTGGGGACCTCAGTTTTCCTCCACTGTGCCTGGAGTGGAGATCATGCAGGCCAAATCACCGCCACTTCCTCAAGAGAGCCCTGGACCTTTCTGAGCTCTGGATCTTTCTTTAGACCCTTGATTAGTATTTTTCTGTAGAAGAAGAGGGTGGCATGAAGCTCTCTTCCCCTAAAAAAGCAGGCTTCTGGGAGTATCCAGAAGTCACACAAGGCAGGGGACATACTCTGAACCCTTCGTTGTCTTCATCAACCACTATTCAGCAAGGCGAGCGTGCCAGGCCCACGCAGCCCCGGGGGTGGGCGACGTGAGCTCCACTCAGGGAAAAGCTGAATCCCGAGGGAGGTTCGCAGCCAAGCCACATGTGGGAGCAGCTGCCCCACCCATCAGATTCAGGGAGCACAGCCCCCGGGGGCTGAGCTTCCCATGACCCAGGGATGTGGTCGAGAAAAGCTCTGCCACCCACTCTGTCTCTCGCAGGCGTCCGTTTTGAGCCCTCCCTCCCGCTCAGCAGCGCAAGGGCAGCCTCTCAGGCCACAGGAAGGAGTCGGGGAAGACCGGCCGCCCCAGGGTGGAAATCCTGGCCTGTGACCTGGAACGCCTGCTCATCCGCACTGGTCACCCTCACGACCGAGACACCGGTGGCCTCAACGAGGGCACACTTCCGATGACCCTCCCAGGACCCCAAGGAGCCCTATGTAAGGTGGGGGCCCAGAGAAGTCTGGTGTGCATGCTGCTCCGTGGAGCTGCGTAATGTGGAGGTCCGGGGACACCTCCCTGACCAGCCACTCACCACCCACTACGGCCTTGGGACTTACTAAGAAAAACAAAAGGCAGCCCTGGCCGGTGTGGCTCAGTTGGCTGGAGCGTCATCTCATAAACCAAAAGGTCATGAGTTCAATTCCTGGTGAGGGCACATGCCTGGGTTTTGGGGTTGGTCCCTTGTCGGGGTACGTACAAGAGGGAGCCCATCAATGTTTCTCTGTTGTATTGATGTTCCTCTCCCTCTCTCCCTCCCTGCCTCCTCCTCTCTCTAAAATCAATAAGCATGTCTTCAGGTGAGGATAAAAAAGAAATTAAAAAGGCAGAAACACAGAAACATGTTTTGTTCTTTTTTAAAGAGCACACCAAGTGATTTCTGAAATGGTTTCTTACTGGCTAGTTTGGACCTTTGACTGGGGCGGAGGGAGGACAAAAAGGAAAGGCGACCTTCAGCTAATTTCTTGGAAGGAGTTACTCTAACTGTGCGTGCGTGTGTGTGTCCTTTCCACATCTTTCAGCCTGTGGCTAGTAAATCCCCAAGATTTCCAACCTGCGCTTTGCATTTTCATCAGCTGACCAGGGAAAGCTGTTCCAGCCAGTGTTTGGCTCTAAGCGTCATGTCCACTAGGGGGCAGGAGACCCCAGGCCACACCAGCCCAGCCAGGAGCCTCAGGCTTCTCAGGGAGCAGGAGGTAGTACAGCGTCAACAGCCCAGCCAATCTGACTCCTAAGTCAAATCATTCGTGTGTCAGGCTTTCTATTTAAGGAAGCACAAGGCCATCTTTCATTACCAGGTCCCCCAGGACTTGAACTGTTGTGACAAGTGACATTAAAAAGGGAGAGCCTGCTGGCATGAACTGACTTTTCTATTCCTGCCCTGTGACTTTCAGAGATTTTAGGCCACATGCCTGGGAGTCTGTTTCCTCTGCTTGCAGAAGATGCCACACGCAGCGTTCAGCAGAACCAAGGGGTGGTCTGGCTCAGACAGACAGGGAAGGGGTCACGCCGTGAAAGCTGCTCCCACCCCCACCCTCAGGCGTGCAGGCACCCCTGGTGTGGACAGCCACACACACAGACGCTTGCAGGCGTGCTGCCTGCGCGCACACCCAGGTGCGCCCTCCCACAGACGCACACAACTATGACTCATACCCTCTGCGTGGCGTGATTCAGCATCTCCTGCCAGGCAGAGTCGAACTGCCGCTTGTCATCCTCCAGCAGCCGCTGCTCGGCCAGGGAGATGGTTTCCTTGGCAGCGCGCAGCACCTCCGTGGCCCTCTGGAAGTCCTGCGTGGCCTTCTGAGCTTCCAGCTGCGCCTGTGTGAGAAAGACCCGCATGAGGCCTCAGGAAACGGCAGGGCTCCTGCTGGCCCATCACACCCGCCGAAAGGACAGTGTCCCAAGGGCTGGGACGTGCCCTGTCCACTCTAGGAACAGGCCTAGCACCCGCAGGTCCTTGTAAAGGCTGGATGGGTAGGTGAAGGGGCAATTTTCAGAGCCCAGAACCCAGTGGACCAGGGAGACATGCCACCTTCCTGTCAGAGCCAGAGATGGCAAACTAGCCCCTTGTATGACAGGCATGGACAACCGTGGCCGTTCATAGAGCAGTTCTCATTTGCTCATGATGCCACGGTGGACACAGTGGTCCCCAACACCATCCCTGCCCAGACCCGTGGCTCAATTCGTAGCACGTCAGAAGCAGAAAGGCCCCGGGGATCACACTCCCACAGCCTGCGGGCGGGAGCTGCGGGGTGAGAGACCCGAACCTTTGCCAAGCGCACATGGCTGGAGAGAAGCTGAACTGTGACCAGACTCCAGGTCCTGCGAGTCCCGCCCCAGTGCTGCCCACTCGGCTGACACCCGCTTTCAGGGAGCGTCCAGTGGGAGAACCCACAAACACCACCGCTGACCATGTCTGACTACCACCAGCCATGCGTGGCTCTCGAGCATTTGAAATGCCATTAATTCAACTGAACACAAAACACCCCAAATTGTGAAGATTTAGTATATAAAAAAGAGTAACTATCACCTTAATAATTTCCATATGGATTACATGATGAAATGGCAATGTTCTGAATATACAAGGTTAAATAAAATATGCTATTAAATGAAATTTTGCTTGTCTCTTTTTCCTTTACTGGGAGTACTAGAAAGTGTGACATGACACAGTTGACACGCATGCTGTTTCTTTTGTAGACACACCTCTTTCGAGAGCGGACCGTGTGACTGCATCAGAAATCAACGACAAAGCCTCCGGTCACCGCTGCTGCGGGCCCCCCGGGGAATTCCCTGCCAGAGCACAGGCAAGCCATTGCCAAATGCTGGCCCCCTCGGTTAACCAGATCCTCACGGCAGTTCCATAAACTTGGGGGACACCCAAGGGGCAGCCCCTCGGGCTGGGAAGGGGAACAAGGTGGCCCCCACAGATCCCCAGAGCTTGTCTCACATGACTTAGAGGAAGCCCTCAGAAACCACAGGCGGAGAAAACAGAATCAGACTTGGAGCCCATCAGCCGATGGAGCAGCTCTGTGACCCCATGGGTACCGCTCTCCAGCCTCCGGTGAACGCGGACTGGGCAGCACACCGCCCCTCCGGGCAATGACTACGGGGTCGGGAAGCTGGAACAGGCATCGAGCGGCCACCCCGAAGTCTGTAATAGCAAACCGTAACGACAGCGTCATAGGACAGAGGGAAGCATATCAGGGGCCATATAAGCACATATATTACTGTATGTAAAGGGGTGTAAAGGAGAAATTACTTCCAGTTGAGCAAATCAAGGGCAGCTTCTTAAAGGAGGATGGTCCTGAACGGAGGACTCAAGATGATGATTTGAAAATCAAGCAGAGAGGAGGCAGGAGGGAGCAGTATTATGAAACATAGTATCTGCAGTAGACCGGACAAAGACCGGTCTCAAAACAGAATCAAGAGTGACGGCCTTGAATGAATGCCAGGCGAACACATTCAACCAGTGGCCCAGGGACCTGGCTGCTGTGCACAACTGTGGGCCCCCATGGGCCTGTCCCAGCTACGCAGCAGGGGAAAGGAGGCTGCTCCCTACCGAATTGTCAACCCTCTGAGAAGTGACAAGACAGCATAGCGTGCTCCCTGCAACACAACTCACTGCTCCAGGCTCTCCTGCGTGAGGGCGGCCCTCCCGGACTCTCGTCAGCAGAGAGGAGATGCAGGGGAGGGGCGGAGGCACGGGACCTGTCACGCAAAGCTGCCCCCACCCTGTGCCGCAGCCTCCCTACAGGCCTCACACCAACACCAGCCCACAATCGTGAAGCCCAAAGGATTCTGTTTCCTAAGAAGGGATTTGCATGAGGTTTTTAAGGAGATTTTGGTATTTCAATTCAGCAACATTTAAGGGCAAATGCTCTTGCCCAGGTCTCCCTGGCTTGAATTATGAAGCTCTTCTTTCCTGAACTATAAAAGGAACGGTGGCTGCCGTAGACAGGCCAGGTCCCCCCAGAGGAAGAAGCCCGGCTGCAGGGGCCTTGCAGATGATGTACTCTGTCAAGTTCCAACGGAGTTTCTGAAGGTTCCTTCCCTCCTACATGCAGCATCAGAATGTGCCTGGCCCAGAATGTGTGTGGCTCGGTTGGCTGGTGTCATCCCGTAAACTGAAAGATCATGGATTTGATTCCTGGTCAGGGAACAGACCTGGATTGTGGGTTTGGTCCCCTGTCGGGGTACCTAAGAGAGGCGACCATAGATGTTTCTCAAATCGATGTTTCTCTCTCTCCCTCCCTCCTTTCCCCTCTAAGATCAAAGAGCATGTCATTGGGTGAAAAGAAAAGAAAAGAAAAGAAAGAAAAGAAAGAAAGAAAGAAAAGAAAGAAAGAAAGAAAGGAAAGAAAGAAAGAAAAGAAAGAAAGACATGTGCTTGCCTTGTCATATCCTGAATACTACTAACATGAGGGTGTATTCTCCAATTAACCCACAGAAACCAGATGGCACCTCTCCATCCTTTTATATTTATTCGTTCAAGTGTTAGGCATCTGTTCTTGTACCACTGTCTATTCTCGCCATCATCCTTGGCAATAGAGCCTTTATGTCTCAGCCTGAGACATGAAGACCCCACTGCCAGCTGTTACTATAGCTAGTGCCCCTGCTACTTTTAGCTAGTGAGATACGAATGGGCATTGAGTGGAAGTTCCAGAAGGGCTCCTTTGTCTTTCCATATGGGATATGAATATAATGGCTGGTGCTTCGACAGCTATTTTGGATCATGAGGTAACTCTCTTAATGATGGAAAACAGTTGTTAGGTCTCTGCCCTGGACTGCCTACCTCCTGACTTTCTACATGACAGACTAACATAGTTTCATGCTTGAGCCAGTGTTTTGGGAGGGTTTTCTGTCATATTCAGCCAAATTTAAACCTAAGTGATAACACATTGCCCCCAGTACATAGCCAGGCTATTCTGCAAACCTGACAGAAGGGACGACAGCAGCTGGTGTAGACGGGTCAAACCTCCCTCAATTAATGAATGTTCTTTCTGGCCGTTCACAGCCCATTTTACTATCATTAAGCCCAAGGAATCAAACTTGGGGGGTTTCCTAAAGAATCCCAAAGCTCATGGCCTTGTGGTAAGGCATCTCATTAAACATTTTCTAAAACTATGTACATGAGGAGGAACCTGGCCGGTACACACGAGGAGGAAGCACTTCGGTTTGACACTGGTGAAGCATCTTCTGGAGGATGAGTTCTTGGGGGGGGGGGGGGGGAGCCCACACAAGAATCAGCGGTCCCGATTTAGTTGGCAAAACAGATACGTTCATTACAAACTCCAACACAAGACTGATGGTGCCCAGCGACAGCTGGAAAGCACTATGGGAATGCAAAGGAGACAGAATGGCATCAAAGCTTCCCTAGGGGAGGTTCCTCAAAGGACAGGTGTCAGCAAGTCAGAGGCTGTCCCAGTGGTGACATCAGGCTCAGCCATAGAAATTCAGGCAACATCCAAGAGTTTACACACACATCCAACCGAGAGGGGCTTAACTCCGAGACTGCTTCCCAGTGTCATAGTAGGACATATAACCTCAAAAATCAGACACCAACTCAGCCATCCCCAAGAGCTGGCTCTCTGGTTCTCCCCATTATGTGAAATATGACACCTAGAAATCTTTGGTGCAACCAACAAGATTGTACCTTTGAACTTTAACAAAGGACCCAGGCCCTGGTGGGACCACGTTATTTGAATAAGGGCCCTACACTCACAAGTGCCCTGGTAATTAATTCACTCCCAGCAGAGAAGCCCAGTTAGCAAAGTGATGAACTGAGACTCTGCTCAGAACTGTACCAAAGAGCTCTGAGCTATAAGACACAACCCAGGAAAAATGTCAAGTATCTTTCTGACTCATGGACGTAAATAAATGGCTTTCATGGAAACAGCTCTACAGAGAGAATTTTAAGAGGCTGCTTATGAATGAACTTGATAAGTGACCTTTACTAGATGCTGGCCCAGGCCAGCTGTGACCGTGAAGCACTCAGAAACACGTGGGTGTTCCACAATGTCGTCAGCAAGGGGGCAGGGTGGGTAGAGAGGTCTACCTTTGTCCAGGCTGCCAGATGGGAATGGATGTAGTCACGGCCATGACTCAACTTCCACTCCTTTCCGTAATTCTCTCAGGAAGGAACAAGAGCATCTGGACATTTGCATTGGTTGCAACAAAGGTTCAATGTAGAAGGAAGTGTATGGGCCAGCCAGTTCAATCCCTTCATTTTCCAAAGAAGGGCCCAAAGAAGCAAGGCAACTAGCCGAACGTCACACAGCTCTGTGGTGGCAGGCCACAGCCAGGAAGCCAGAGCCCCGCCCCATCGTGGGGCTGTCTCTGCTCTACCATGCAGTGTCAGGCCGCCGGCGTCACTCTGGCAGTGGCATAATCGGTGCACAAGTGGGCAGTCTCCCCATTTCTACTGCACAGAGCGGGAGCTGCTACAGGGCCACGGACAAGATGGAGACTCACGCTGTGTGCAGGACTGTGGCCTGCCACCTGGGACTCATGGTCGTGTCACTGAAGCCTCGCTCAGGGGTTACCAACACACTGGCCTGTCAGCTGCAGGAACTGAAAAGGAGAAGGAGTCCTGTCACTTGGCTGCCCAAAGCCCTACTCTAGCTGGGGTGGCCCCAAGTCCCAGAGAAGCCCACAAGATGAAACAAATTTAGTGCCTGACTACCCGCAGGCGAGCAAATGTGGATACGGATGCTTCTACGAAGAAAATCACAACAGCTACAGTTTGAGCATGTATTTATCCTGACTCAGATAACACATATATGGTATTCTGAGCACAGTGCCTCATTTAAATCTCTAAA